CTAGTAATAGTATGCTATACAAGTATTACGACACACACACACACACACACACACACACACACACACACACAACTGGGTTCTACACTCCCACAAACACAGACAATTGAAGGGAATTGAGGACCTCTGATCGGCTAGTTATGGAAGTGTAGAATAGAACAAATGAAAAAATAAATGCTACCCTAAAATATATAAGCAATGGCTGCAGTGCTTAAAGGACATTTGAAAAGTTAAAAATAAAGCAACAACTGCTAAGATACAGTTTTTATTACAGACACATTGGGAAAAAAACACCCTATAAAATCCAGCAGGCCTTTTGTCAATTTGTTAATCCCTTTGAAGGCAACACGAGTTGATTAAATAGGTGTTGATAAATGTTTTGTAACGGACGGGGGTTTGGTGGACATTCGACACCTCAGCGATCGCCTTGTTTGCTGTTCTGGGCTAGATGTGCGGCCACAGCTGTGGACATTTGCCTGTAAGATGCTTTGACAGCCCTAGAGACTAGCAGCATGAGTCAAAGAGCTGCTTGAAAACATGCACATTAGCTCTGTGACATGTGGGTTCACATCATAAAATAGCACTGAGGGGAAAACACTTCATACATCATTCCTATGAAGAGTTAAGAGAGGATATTGAATTTTAATGAAGTGCCAGTGAATACTCGCTGGTAATGACGTAAAGAGATGGATTTGAGAAGCCATGTTAGTTTATAAAACCGGCTTCATAGTAGAATCCTAATGCTGTATTGTTTGCTGTCTCCATTAGACGATGAAGAAGAGGAAGGCAGTTATGATACTGACCATGCTCAAGACTACAGGATCCAACAGCCCAGAGAGGTCACCTCTAGCTCCTGCATGACAGGTCCGAGTCCATCATCTGTTGTAAAACTAGAGGCCAACCAGAAAGCCAGGAACAAAAAACAAAGACAGGAGCTTTACGGTAAGACTGTCCTTTGAAACTGATTCATGAGTCAACAAAGCTGCCCCGCATCTTCGTGGGAAGCGTCTGTTCCGTGTTTCTCCCGCTAGCTTTTAGGCTTCGTCTAAATCTGTTTCTCTAATTGAACTTCACAGGATCCCAGAGTCTGTCTGGAGCAGAAGGCGAAGTCAAAATAAGGAAGAAGACGCCTCGTAGGATAGGCCTGTCCCCTGCAGTCAAAAACCGGCATGAAGACCATCGGCCTGAAGGGGTCAGAAAGCCATGTGGGCCCAGGTCTAAGGAGCCTCGGTGGGGCAGCCTCGGGACCAGAGGCAACCGCTACCGGAGGGGCATGGGCCTGGCCACCTTTACCACCACCAGTGAGAGGCTAAAGAGGGCGACCCGCAAAAGCACAATGTTGAGAGGAGCCATCAATAAGGTTAATAGAAAGCATTTGGATATATAAATGTTACATCATAAACATCTACTCAAAATGACTTTAATGGTATAACAATTCTGCACATAAATGACTAGGACTATAGTGGTGATATTTAACAATTCACCTTGTCCATTCTCATTAACAGAGAAGAAATTGCTGGTCGGTTGGGGCAACATCTTCACAGACTGAAGACAGCAACGGACGAATAACCAAGGAGCAAAAGGTACTAGAACCGGAGAATACTAAAAGCACTCAATCCTCACTCAACAAGGAACAAGCAAACCACCAAACAGAATCCTATTCTCAAAAAGTCCTTCCTACATTCTATTAACAATTCTGGTGATGTCTTACTGTCCCAGTTTTCTCACCCTGAGGATGGTTACTGTAGAACTATTAAAAGTACATCGCACATAGCCCAACCTCCTGCTGAGTAATCTTAGGGGAGAAAAGGATAGGAGAAGAGATGTGAGAAGGGGGGGGCGGCTCACACTTTTCGCTGTGACAGTGTAAAAAAAGGCTACTGATAGGAAATAGTACAGGCGCTGTGAAGCCCCCTGCGGTTAATTGCTACTTTGAGTACCATGCTAAACAATTTCTTCTTTTTTTTCCTATCACACTATCCATTGCCACTTTTATTTTGTATCCATTCCTAAATCCATTTATTCTTCTGTGCGTCCCTTCTGTTGTACTTTACAGCCAAAGGGGCGAGCAGTGAGTCTGCTGCTGGAGAGCTTTGCGGCCGATGAGGGCTTTCAGATGGATGGCAGCAGCTTCTCAGAAGAAGAGGAGGACAGCAGCTTCTCTTACAGCAAGAAATGCCCAGAAGGCAAGAGATTACACAGGATATCTTGCAACAGTGTTTGAAGCTAGTTTCAGTGATGTGGTGAATTATTAAATGCAATGTTTGCCTTTTGCTTATACAGTTCCCAACTGTGTCCTGACCAAAGAGCTCTTGACTGATGGACTGAAGGTGCTGATCTGCAAAGAGGATGAGCTACTATACGCTGCAAGGATCCACACACTGGATCTCCCAGACATGTAAGCACACATTGGAAGTTCAAGTGATAAAGCAGGGTTTTAACAGACCCCATGTACATATCTTAAATCATATTCTCCTATTCATTTAAGGAGGTTGTTGAGGTTGTAATCACAATAATTATATTATTAAAGGGGCAGTTTATGTCAAAGTCAAAATAATAATATTACTTATTGTGCTATATATCAATCTGGAAGGTTTCGATGTGAGTTGGCAAGTGTTGGAGATATTGGCAATACAAACGTCTGCCTTTTCTTGAATATAATGAAACCATACTGCAGTCAGGCCTACAAGGTGTAATGGGTAAGGCTCTTTAAGGATAAAGGAAAGAGGAATTTAGCATGATGGGACTAGAAGTATCCACCAGTATCCAAGTTAGCCTATTTTGTATCCATCTTAATGTCATTCCTTAGCTTAAAAACGCCATCCATACCTAACTGAGTGTTTATTTGGTTCTCCTGACTCAGGCAGCAGAAAGATGTTTTAACAACAGCTGAGTGGGAGTCACATATGACATGTGAGCAAGGCAAGCATAATACAAGCATCTGAAAATATATTTTTCTCTCTCTGTTGTGCTTTATTCTCTAGCTTTAGCATTGTTATCTACGGTGAAAGAGGAAACCGCCCAAGAATCTATTCATTGGAGCAGCTGCTACAGGAAGTTGTAAGTTCACCCTGCTGCACAAAACACTCTTTGCTACAGGAAAAACCATCACTTGTTTGGTCTCCTTGGTCACTCAACACTTCTATTTCTCCTAAACATCCTTCTCAACCGCCACAATCCTTCATAGCCTTTCAGCCTCTCTGTCTGGTCCTTTAGTTTTCAGTCTTTAAACCTCCCTTGACACTCTCTCAGGGTCATTGAGGCCATTAAAACCCTTGAAATGCATATGAACATTATGTGAGACAGGATCTTTGGGTTTGTGAGTGTGTGTGGGTGAGATAATCCTACAAAACACCTGGATCCACTCCCATTTTAAATGAAATAACTTAACATCTCATTGCTGCTTGAGTAAAATAGTTGTTTACTTTAGAGGATCAGATCAATACAAACAAAATGGCGTTTGAAGAGGGTTAGGGTTGCTAATGATGACTGGAAATGATCCAATAGTGTAGAGCTATCCAACCTTCACACACAATCTATATTTCACGATAACATTGTTCACCCGTTTTAGTTTCTTTTTCAGTTGCAGCTGGTGTGGTTTAGATTTTTCTTTCCCTAAACCACAAGATCGTTAGGATCTGTAATTCACACTCAAATTAAGATACAATTACAGTTTACGCAAGTCATTCATGAAATGAGACAATTATATACTGTAGAAACCGCATATCAGTCTTGGCTGGTGAACATTTGCATTTAGGTAACATGTGCTTCTTGGTGTGCTTTGTAACCGGGATAAAGTTATAGTGTTTACTTCAGCAGGTGACCTTTGTCCTATTTTTTGGAGGATGCTGGTTATCATGCACTAATACAGTAGCAGCTAGGTCAACTGAAGCAAATACGTCATACCCACATCTTCTCCAACTGTGGACATAAGTCTTCACTATTGCCAAACAGGGCACAGGACGTGGTGTTTGCACACAATAGAGTAAGTAGAGCAGAGTTTGACTTTGCAACATTGTTCCTTAGATTAATAACTTTTGCTGTCACTCTAAATGGGGGAAAGGAAAAGCAGCAAGGCATGGTAACATTAATTATAAGTGAGCTGCTTCTTTTTTAATCAAATGACTGGCAACACTTTCTCCTTTAAACCCTTGAAGAATTACTAGCCATAATGTTAATGTTTTGAGTCAAAGCAGGATCAAATGTTACGTAATTATTAACGGGACATTTTAAAACCTGGCATTTTTAACTCTCTTGTAACACTTGCTCAAAATAACCAGATTAATTCATTACTTGCAAATGATTCAATTACTTTCTTAAACAAACTCATTTTGTACAGTATTAGGTTTTTGTTTATTTTCAGTATAAATTCAAGAGCACTCGAAATAAATCTACTGTTATATCTCCCGAATGGCCAAGCATTATTGTAACTGTCGTCAAGAAGTTAGATACTAACTAAGCGCTTACATACTAACAAAGCACTTATAAACTAGCAAAGGACTGGCTTATCTAAAGCCAGTTGAGTAGCACTTAAAATGGTTTGGCTCTATGAAACCTGATGTACTTATATGATTCTGTTTTCTTCAAGTTTGTATCTTGGTCGAATGCACTTATTGTAAGTCCCTTTGGATAAAAGCGTCAGCTAAATGAAATGTAATGTAAAAAAAATCAGTTTGCATCAGGTTCCTGTTGTTGGAGGACCACACATATTAGTCCATTTAGTATTTGACCACTTGCCTCCTCTGTCTCTCATCCATGTAAGCTCGCTCATACCAATTCTCCCAGCAGCTTCACACAAAGCACTTCTGGCAACTTATTTAAACACTCATTAGATAGCAGCTGGTCCTAATTATGCCATACTTCCACTTTCTTTTCTTTTAAATTAGTCCCAAAGCCATTTATTTGACTCTGACACCAATGCCCCGATTTCCACCGTGCTCCTTCACCCTCCCCCATGCACACATATACACACACTCTTAAACACACCCACATCCACACCTCATCAGTCAAAGGGTCCCTCGCCATGGCAACAGTAAATGAAAGCAACCTGAAAGAGCCCCCAGTGAGTGGCGGATGCTGGGGCTGCCTGCATTGTTGGAGGGAGGATCTGGCAACCTGCAATCACAAGCCCTCTATTCAGACCCTCTTTAGTATTACTCAGCAAGTCAGGATTTACTGCATCATGGCTTCCGTTCCTTTCAGCCCTGACTGGCACATTGGCATGAGATAAGTGCCGCTTGGTAATGTGGCACAGTGGCTGCCCATGCACAATGCTCTAAGGCTCTCTCACTGTTTGTAAGCGAGTGTGTTGTGCATGCATGTCTGTCTGTCTGTGTGTGTGTGTGATTGTGTGTGGGCTGTAATGAATCCTAATTATGTTTTGGTCTTGCCTTCAGGTGCTGGATGTACGGCCAGAGTCGGAGGCTATACTCAATGAAGGAACCAGGGTGTGTGCTTTCTGGAGCGAACGTTCACGCTGCTTATACCCAGGTTACGTTCGCAGAGGTGAGACAACAGCTCTTTCTATATCCGTTTGTCCCGTGTGACCTATGTATCTTAAACTATTCAGTTGTATGTTTAAACAACATGTTGTGCTCTTGTCTCTTGCAGGTGCTTCATCTGATGAAGGGAAGCAAGGAGGAGTGATGGTAGAGTTTGATGATGGAGACAGAGCGAAGATTTCTCTCCCAAACATCCGCCTGCTGCCTCCAGGATACCAGATTCGCTGTAGGTGTCTCCTATTCTGTGGAACTGGGGATGTTCCCTTCCATGCTACACTCTATTGTCTACCTGAAAGTAAATGTTAATAAGCGTCTGCCTCTTGTTCATCAGGTGGCGAGTCATCCCCTGCCCTGCATATACCCAGTGAGAAAACAGTCAGGAGGTGTTCCAGTCTGGAGCAGGCCCCTTTCAGTGGCAGACCTTCAGACCGATTCAACATCATCAACACTTTAACAAATAGCCAAACTTTAACTGTCCACAAAAGAAGACCTGGTAAGAATAATACCCCCCAACTCTTCATTTCACCTTAATGTGTATGTCATAGTGTATATGGGGTAGCATTGTTCTTTTATGGCTGCAGTATTACATCAAATGAAATGTTCCCAGAGACCTGTTTCATAATTTGCAATATTTCTCTAAAGTATTACATTTTGTTCACTCTAGGGAGACCAAAGGGTTCTGGTAAAAAACAAAAGCAGCAGCAACAGCAGGCTGAGAATGCCAATAAAAGTCCTTCACCTTTCTTGGGTTGGCCTTCGTTGAGCAACAACAGGAAGCGGTCGTCGGACAACCTATTTCAGCTTAATGGGACGCCCAGGAAGATCTTAAGAGGGACAGAAGATGACTTCTTTCCCCTGTCTAGGACCCAGCCAATGTCCTCCACCCCAGCCAAAGGCCTTTTCAGCAGCAGCTCTTTTGAGGTGGACTCTTTCAGCAGCATTGCAAATGGCTACTCCTCTTTTTGTACTCAGTCTTCAGGGTCAGGTCCAGGTTTATCTCAGGGCCCAAGAAGTGGGCTGTATGCCCAGAAGCGCAGGCAAGATGACCTTGTAGTTCCAAGGAGCAGAAAGTCTGGACAAGAGTTCTTAGTCAAGTTAGATCATGAGGGAGTGACCTCGCCTAAGACAAAGAATAGCAAAGCTCTAATGTTGCGAGCTGGATCTTCAAGTGTGAGTGGTATGCCCAGGACAGAGTCGTACTCTCACCCAGTGCTGCTGGTTAAAGACAACAAAAAGGGTGGTGCCTCCAAAGTAGAACTCCTCCTGAAAGAAACCACACCTCAAAGGAAGCCCTCTTATTCTCTGCGTATGGATGAATATGGCGACCTGGGTTTCAGCTCTCACAGAGAGTGTCACAGCTCATACTCTGATCTGGATGATGATGATGATGAAGATGATGAGGAGGAAGAGAGGAGGAGGGCTGCAGTAGCTGCAGCCTCAGGAGGACTAAGGACGGCTGGCCGCTTCCTGTCTCGCCTCTCTGTCTCCTCATCGTCTTCTGGTTCTTCAAGCTCCTCTTCTTCAGGCTCTCTCTCTAGTTCCAGCCTGTGTTCCTCTGACAATGATTCCTCCTACAGCTCAGAGGATGAGGACAGTTCTACATTGATGCTTCAGAGTTGTCTAACTTCCCACCGGGGGCTTCTACAACCCTCTGAACCCTCAACTTCTTCAAGGCCACACTCGCACTCCTTTGTGGCCAAAGCTGTGGCTGTTTCTAATGTCAAAGGAGGCCCCCCGGACCACGTCTCCAACAGCAAGTCCCTAAAGAGGAAAGAAAGCTCCAGCTCCACCTCTAAATCATCAAAGGATTTTTTAAAGAGACCTAGGGTGCTTCCAGAGGAAACCTCCTTTGTTCCAAGGCCCAAGATGTCTTCGTGCCTTGCAGGACGACCAATGTGGAGGTGGTCAGGAAACCCTACACAGGTAGGAATAGTTCACCCATTCTTCTACTGCATGATTTTAGCAAAGATATATCCGCTTTTCTTTCATAATATGTTCCAATACTAAATCATTAGGTCAAGAGACATATTCATCGTCAAACAATATGTGTTAATACGTCTTGTTTTCCACAGCGGCGAGGTCTAAAGGGCAAGGCGAGGAAGCTTTTTTACAAGGCCATTGTGAGAGGCAGAGACACAGTAAGTGTGGGTGACTGTGCTGTGTTCCTCTCCGCTGGACGTCCCAACCTCCCATATGTAGGTCAAATTGAGAACTTGTGGGAATCTTGGACCTCTAACATGGTGGTCAAAGTCAAATGGTTCTACCACCCTGAAGAAACCAAGCTTGGCAAGCGGCATCGAGATGGCAAGGTGAGCCGCTATGGAGGATAACATTTTACGGAGACTGTTAGTTATTTGTTAGAATGACATTCTTTCTCTGTTGGTTCATATACAATGCAACTTACCCTGTGCTTTCCCTCTACAGCATGCCCTGTACCAGTCGTGTCATGAGGATGAGAATGACGTCCAGACAATCTCTCATAAGTGCCAGGTAGTCAGCAGGAAGGAGTATGAGTGTCTGACTCACAATCAGAAGCCGAACAGTACCTTCCCAGACCTTTACTACCTGGCTGGGACGTACGATCCCACCGCTGGTCAATTGGTAACTACTGAAGGAGTTTCAATCCTGTGCTGAACCTCCATGAGGACACTACTGAAGGACTCCTTTGGAGGGAGGATATAAGTCCATGACTCTACCAACAAGACCATCCAGTCTGCGAAGACAACAAGTATTTCTTGGGTATGCCTTGTGGACCCATGGAAAAGAATATCAGCACCAAAGCAGGGCTGTCTGAGGCTACACACTGGAGTCTATTGACCTCTAACCTCTTCTTGGAAGTGAAGGGCTTGTCAATAACTGGTTTAACCTTTCATGAAGAATAGAATAAAGTCTGGGTATTCCTGGACATAACAAAATTCAATATGTAAGGTTTTTTTTAATCATCTAACTAATCTCTTTTTAATGGGTCTATGTGATACTAGACAGCTTCATACATGGTTTTAGGACTCATGTTTCTAGCGCCTATCATGTGTAACCAAAGGAGAGCTGAGAGTGCATTGAACTGTGAAAGTATCATGAGGCTGAGTAGTCTCTGTGGACCAATTCTTAAAAAGGTAGCCTTACCTAAGGGAATGGAAATAAAAATGAGGCATGGGGCTTTCCCTAGACCTCTTCATTCCAGGGAAGTTGAAAACATGTACAGGATGTAAAGTTGATGTCTGTAAATATTTTGAATTTTTCCCAATCAAGCCATACACTTCAGTACCTCTCGCCTGTCTTAACTGTTCAGGTGTACATTGTATAGGTCAATTATTGTATTGTTTACTGTTGTCTATATGTATATAAAAAGGTATTTTATATAGGAGTTTATTGTATATATGAGATGTATCTTTCCATGTTTGCGATTGATTTATTTTTATATGGGTGTAGAATACATTACGTTGTTTTTCCTTAGCTTTGGGAAGTCAAGATTGGAGATGTTAGTGTTGCACTGCATATGCCCTGCTGAGACAGACGGAGCACAAAGACAGAAGGATTTATTCTATAACAGGACAAGACTCACTTTCTGAGAGAGAGGGGTCATCCTGTTTATAAAAAAAATAGGTCAAGTGGCTTTTTTCGTAAAAGTGTTCTGTTACTTTTCATTACTATTATGCTTTTTAAAAAAACGTTTTTATTTATGTACTTCTCAGTTGGTCATCATCACAAGGCAGATCCCACTGGACTGCAGTCACGGGTCAAACATTATTTAAGATAAATGTTATGAGTATAATATTTAGACACAATATTTGTGTGTGATGAGTGTCCTGGCATCACTATAATCATGTCCACACAAATCAATTTAGAACAAGACCGGGTCTATTGGTGAACATGTGTTAAATGAACACAGTTTGTCACATTACGACCCACAAAATACCAAAGTGTCTTTTAATATCTTTATTTCCTTTATTTAAATGTAACATATGTCAAGCACCTGTATTGAACTCGAATCAGAAATCACTGGTAAATTATAGAATACTTGTCCTCCACTATGTGCGTATATATTGGCTTTGAATTGTGACAATGGTTTCTTGCACATGTACCTGCAGATTTGTGTAGAGCAAACATGCAGCAAAATGCCACCTGGGAATGTGACTATGAAGGTCAAGGTACTGACAAAGTAAGATGTTGAGTACTGACGATGTGTTGGAATTAGTCTATTTTAGTTTTATCAGCCATCTGTGTCTATTTTGTACAGTGCACGCACATACTCAATGCTAACTGTGAAGGACAATCAGATTCACAAAGCAATGGACATAGAGTAGGTTCACTCAATCTGAAAATTACTTGTGTTTATTTAATTTGTGCCAAGTACATTTTGTCTATTTTTTGTCTTGTTTGATATGCAATCCTGAGTATTCTTTGTTGACAAAGTTTAATTTTATTCGCCAACATTTTATTTATTGTCATTGTTGCTGTTTGTTCATGCCAAGAGCGCTTTATAAGAATGTGACATTGTTTTTCTTGATGTGCATTTGCATTTCTTAAATAAAGCTGGTCTTGTAGAGGCCATCTAGTGAAAAGAAATAAAGCAACACTGGATCTTCTCATCCGCAAACCTCTGTGAATTAATTCTATTATTCTGGCTGTGTCCTCTTCATCTCACTGCACCTACCTTCTCCCATCAACATATTTATGTTAAACAGTTTTGTAATAACTAAGATATTGCCTTTGAAAGACAGAATCAAATGTGTTTTTTGTTTTTTTATCTAAATGGGACTTCTCGACACAAAATTATACCAAAGAGACTGTTTTTAAAGAACAGAACAACCTAGTGCTTTGGTACATTTGTCTCACAAATGTCTAACAGGTTTGTTTTTTTAAGTAGGAATAAAACCCTTAGTACTTATTAATAACAATGAAGTAACTAGTTCAGACAGATCTACAAGGCATTAGCTGATCAGCACCATTTGTTTTTAACAATCAACAGGAAGTTGACTAATTAGGAGTATTTTGACTAACTTGCATTCATTATCTTTTAATAACTTCTGCTGCCATTGCAGAACAAATAATAGTTAACTCTCACCTATCGCACAGCTGATTTCTCGGTTCACCATTCCCCAAACTCCACGTGTTCTGGTTTCTTATTACCACACATGGTAATGACAGCTCTTTACTCGTTGTGCATTATGTGCATCAGATATCTCATTTATATGTAGAGCATGAGCCAGGTTCTGTCCTCTATACCCCTGAGGGAGTTTTAATGTGCTCCCTTTAGGATTGTGAGGCTACTTAGACTTTTGAGGCTACTTGGAATAATTTGTAAAGCACAAGACCCTTTTCTGACAAATTATTGTATCTGTTGCGATAAATCCTTTGATGTAAGTGTCTCTGGCTGAACTAAGTTTATATGAGATTTGAGTTCCTTAGTAAATAGAGACAGATCTGTCACAGCATCAAATAAAGCCTACTGGGTTTAGCTGCCAAGCTGTGTAAATAAGATGATGGCTGATTCAGAGATAGATGTGAACTTTTGTTATTCATGTGCCTGTTTTTTTATTTAATTTTTTATTTAAAATAACTGGTTCTTATTGGTGCGTGATAGAAAACTGAGAAAAAGTCGCCCCTGAACATATCGGTCAGCGTTGAGTGTGTTAATGTTTTAAAATACTTGTACATTTGTAATTTCTGTATTTGTGCTGCATTTTTTTTACAAATGTATTGTATAGGATGAAGATTTTTTATAGATATAAAAATAAATACGATTACACAGAAATGTAACAATTTATTTAAATTTGATATTTGTTTCTGATCAAAATAAAAGGGATTTTAAGATGTGTTCTTCACATCACCTTAATAAATAATAGATGTAAAGGAGGGCGCTATCTAGTGGAAGAATAAGAATACTACATTTCATACCATAAGCTTTTACACTGAAAACAGCTTATTTGTGTAGTTTGATTTAAAGACACAGTGTAGTATTTCCATACTTCTTTGTCTACAATAGTGCAATTGCAATATAAACATCATCCATCCACAGCCTGGAGCAGCAGGTTGCCTCTTTCACACAACATCATCCCTAACCTACAGCATTTGTACGTTTGCATACTTGCTCATCAGCTTTGACGAAGCCAATCTCTGTAACCTGAATCACTGATATAACCACTGGCTGGGCCTAAAGGAGACACAATATGGGTCAGTGACCTTTCTCTGCAGGCCCAGGGATGTTTTTGTCCTGCATGGAGCCTGAGTGCCACTCCCCCCTGCCCCTTAATGCCCAGACAGGGGCTAATGGGCACATCGGTCATCTCCAACAGCAGCCCAGTGAACACAAACAGCTCTGTTTATGACCACAACCTTTTGTGTTGGCTATGGCCAATGCCCCATGTCGGAGCCATGGTCCTTCCTGCACCATCAGCATGGGGGCGGGAGGGACTCACCACTGGAGCTGAAGATAGGGTTGAGGGTGGGTGGATGGGGGCCTTAAGGTTATTTTCATGCTTTGAGAAGGTTTTGCTTCATTACACCCCTTTACTAAGAGATACATAGTCAAGATAATATTTATCAGGGATCTAATGAGACAATTTCAGTTGTATTGGACATTTTTTTACCAATTACATGCTTTGAATTAAGCCAATCAAATTTTCGCTTTGTATGGGAACGATAAGGTCACTAAAACAGGTCAATACCCCAACATTCTTTTATCGTTTTCCTCATTGCGACCAGATTTTCAAAGTCTACAACCTGGATTCTGTTACCTCTCACTTGACAGACTGCTCTGCCTGTCTTACTTTTCAGTGCCTGTCTGGTTCAGCTTGCCCAGCATCCAGACTGTGTTGCTCAGTGTCAACAGGAGGAATGCTTTCCTGCACAAATATCTACACCTCATAAATGTCTCGCCCTCTGCTCGACCCTGTCTGGCCTCTGACTGTGAGGGGGTTGTTCAGGGGACAGACAGACAGACTGGTGTGTGTGTGTGTGTGTGTGTGTGTGTGTGTGTGTGTGTGTGTGTGTGTGTGTGTGTGTGTGTGTGTGTGTGTGTGTGTGTGTGTGTGTGTAGCAGGAGGGTTGAGGTGAGGCCTTGGGTCTTAACAAGGTGCTGGGAGAAGAGAGCAGGACAAACAGACCATTCAGACGCTGACTCCTGCTTCTTCTCAAAGGGCAGTAAAGCCCTAAAGATCGTTTTTGAGAATATCAATTATGGAGCAGTTACGGCCAATGCATAATACCTCAACTATACTGCATGCCGAAGTAACACATTTATTTTATGGAGAAAAGCAAAAGTGCTGCCTCGGCGGGAAAAACATCTTTGATCGTGACATTTTGGACTCATACAAATATTGGAGAGAGGGGCTTTCAGATAAGTCTGAAATGTAGTTGCTAAGTGAATATAAAATGTGTAAATGCCAGTTTGGAAATATTTAGGTGCATTTGATATAAGAGCTCCATCATGTTGTTTAGGGACAAATAGGAGACTTTACAATATTAAGTGCACAAGGTTTCCAAAAGCTTAAACTGTGCACATGTTTACAGCATACTTAGTAGGAGGCTTTCAGAGGTGGCTTCAATGCTGTGCTAACTGCTGTTAGCAAATGCCTACACTTCCTCATAGGGATACACTGGACTAATACGTATACTCCTGTGTTGTATAGACACATGTGCCAGCACACAGCCAAGTCACTAAGTGCTGTGTGCTGCTTGCCATGGCCTAGATCCAGCCATGCCACCGCTAATCCAATTCTCTGTTGCTCATTATTGGTGGCTTGTAAAGATTCTGTATCAGCGATGCTAAAAGAGCTTTTCAAAGTATTACATGGGATTACGGTTGCTCCTCGCTACATATGTTGCTCAAAAACTCGGATGTAATATTGCCTCCCTGTTTACATGGCCCCGACAGCATAACAAATAAATGACTCAATATCATAGTCTCTTTGGCCCTGTTGTTTGTTACAGCTGTAGTGTTTCCATGACTAAATAAACGTAGAAAATTAAAATAAAGGAGATGTTCAGAAAGCTGAAATCACTGTGCGAGTATACATTTAAGGAGGATTGTCCACTTGCGGGTAATTTCCCAATGAGCGTTATAGTTTAAAGGAAAAAAAAGTTTTCTTCAGCTATCTCAGATATGTATTCAAACAGCCTGGCAGCAATCACAGAATACTAGGGTATAATCAGGGGATTATCTCCGTTTTAAAAGGGTCACAAAATCAAAAATATCTTATCTGTACCAACCATAATTGTGTCCAAACCAAACTGAGCCTGCCTGCACGGTCAGTCAGAGGGTGTGGTCTCTTGCTCATCTCAACAACGGCATTAATCAAGGGCTGATCTCACAAGTATGGATGTCTTTCTTGTTTAAAACGATACTTTGCCAACAGCCACCGTTTTTTTTCTCACTGTCCACAGTACTCTATTGACCCAGCAGCAGGCAAAGTTACAGCCTGTCATAAAAGGGGTCAGGCGCCTTCTCGTTCTATCCCAGTTGTAAGTGCAGGACAGCTGGAAACGCTCTTCGTCTCATAAATAACAAAGAAAGGCTTTTACCCCCATTAGAGATCAGCTGTTAGCTCAATTAATCAGTTACAACCAACATCTAATCAAATTAGGGCGTTGGGTTGATGACTAACCCACAGGTTAGTATTAAGACTTCAAATTCTTATATAATCTCAAATGATTATCCGTCTCATCAAAATAAAAATATTATGGCCAGGTATTATATGGGAACCTGAGGCTAGAGAAGAGCATCACTGTTTCCTTTTTCCCCATTACACCCCCCTTTCTTTCCACACCCTCCTGTGTAGTGGTGTTTGTGCATTCCTGTGTCGACAACCTCTCCGTCTAGTTCTCTGGGGTGTTTACCCCCTTTCACAGTAGCAGCTCCCACCATCCCATCTCTGTTTACATTGCTCTTCTCCTCTATTTACTCTGTGCTCCAGCGCCCTAGTGCACGGCGCTCCAAACAGCTGTTCCATTATGGGGAGAGCAGGCACTTCAACCACACAGCGCTGCCACACAGCTCTCTCTGACAGCCCACCATGGGCGCTACCATGATCACTGCCTTGCTCCGCTGGCACGCCTGCCATTGTGGCCGTAAAGCGCAGTCTCCTTTGTGGCTTCTGGGCATAGAGTCAGTCAGAGCAACTGTCAGAGATTGTCTTCAAACCGCAAGACAAATTTGCCAACTTCAGCTTTTGATTAAGTGCGTCTGTACAGGATGCAGTTCTGCGGTGATTTAAACAAGCAGCAATTATATCCAGATGATCTAGAATAAACGGCCACAAACATCTTTACACTGAAACAGGGCTTTTATAGTTTGTCATTACAAATCATTCTACATTTTTACCATTTCGGCACATTTTCTGTAAGTACCCCATATAAATCTTGCGTCTACATGACATCATCCATAGGTCCATTATCCCACAGAGCATGATGGTCTTTCCTCTGAAACGCTTTGCCTGGTTAGCTGTCAGGGAAAGAAAGACGGGTGTCTAACTGTGTCTTAGGATCATACTATACCATGAATCTCGACTGAATTATTTTTACCCTTTGCGTGTCCTTTTCCCTGCTGGTGTGCACAGCTGGTGCTGAGTCAGGAGGGATGAAGCCTGGA